TTTATCCTCTAAACATTTATAGAGATGCTGCAATAGGTTGTACAAAATAACCGGAAAAGCCTATAATAACTAGATAGGAAAGTCATGTGTTGGAAACATCAGATTTTTTACAACTGTAACCAAATACATAAGAATTTCTATTGTTTAGTGCCATTATAAAATAAAGTATTGTAGAAATATCTCGCTTAAATACAATTAATAAGGTATTCACTGAAATCCAACTTTTAAAACACAACCAGAGACAAAACAAAACACATTTAACATCTTCTTTTTATCATATTTAAAGAACGGCCGCTGAACATTTTTAATAAAATGGATCTTGTTTTAATAAATAGGAGACCAAAATAGACAAGCATACTCAAACGAGATCTAATAAATACATGAAACAATAAACGATGTAATATAACTGTTTATTTATAAATTAAGTTAAGTAAGCAAGAACGCCATATTCATTACAATTACAAAAACAAGTAACTGATTATAGTAAATATCAAATTGATTATAAACTTTGTTAATGACATACATTTGTTACATTTTTTTTTTCATGTGGCAGAAGGCACTAAACGTTTGTCATTATCTCAAAACTATAACTTTTGACTTTCCGGCCTTCTTTCTACCGACGGCAGAATTGTTTTCCGGCTCATTCAAAACTGTTTTCTCTTCAGAAATAAGATTAGTTATATAATCCGTAACTTTTTTTTTTGTATTCTCGCCTGCCTATGCATTTTAAATGTTGGATCAAGAAAAGCTGTGCCACGACCTATGTGTGCAAAATAAAGAGGTTAATGCAAAATAACCCTTTGGGGATGCTTATCCAACTTTTAAAAATAGAATGGTTTCAAATAGTAGCTCAGTCGAGAGAGGGTCGTAGGTATTGAGATACGAGGCAGTTTACATATACTTGCCTATTATGTTTACTTGGACACAGGCCAGTTCTATCAAAAGTGATTTTCTTGCGTTCAAATATATTTAAAAATGAATTTAAAACATATATGTCAAAACGTCATCAATTTGAGACTACGCCAGAACGTACCGTTTAGTAAAAAAGTCATGTCAAATCTATAGTCACATGTCATGTTTATTATTTTTCTATGGTTTATTATTTTGAACTTTGAATAATAATAATAAATAATAATGATTATTGCACAAAATGAACGGAAATTTGCGTGATATGATGATTCCTCTTCTTGTTCAACACATTGAAGAAGAGCAGCGTTTTATGGCCAACATTACACAGCTAATTAATTTATATTTGGAGAATCCTCAGAATTATCTTATTTTATTAGCATTTAGAGAACAACATTCCAGGGTTCCTTTGTATGCTGAAGAATGGTTGATTAAGTATACGGAATATGACTTTTTCCAACTATTCCGCATGAAACGAGAAAGCTTTTACATCTTGCTTGAGAAGATAAATTGTAATGCTGTAAATAAAGAATTTGTTGCAGGACATCCACCTATACCTAGCGAAAAAATGCTTCTGATAACTTTGTGGTTGTTAGGGAAAGGTGAAGTTTTATTTTCTGTGGCTGATAGATTTAATGTAAGCTTAAGTGCTGTTCACACATGCATGAGTGTACTATTAGGCATTTTTATTACATTATTACCTCAGTACATTATATGGCCTAACAGAAACGAATTGGAAAGAACAGAGGTTGTTTTTCAAAATAAATCTGGATTTCTAAGAATGGTGGGCGCAATAGATGTGTGTAATATTAAAATAAAGGCACCAGTGGAACAACAAGCTAGTTATATATATAGAAAACAGCAACATTCGATTAATTGCAAGCAATAGTGTCACCACATAAAGTTTTCACACAAACATTTCCTGGAGCGGCCCATGACAGTCGAATTTTGCATAATCCTGGAATATACTTAGACACAGAGGAAAATGCCCACTACAGGAAATATTTCCCATTAAAAAAATGGCTTATGAAACCGTATAAAGTAACGCAAGTATTAAACTTAGCCAAACTCGAGTATGTGTAGAACATACATTTGGAAGTATCAAGTCAAGGTGGAGAATATTAAACCATGTTAATCAGTATTGAAAGAGCTGTAAAAATTATTACAGCTTGCTGTATTTTACATAATTTTTGTTATGTAAACAATGACAATTGGGACACATATATATATATATATATATATATATATATATATATATATATATATATATATATATATATATATATATAGAAAATATAGTATATGATGATGGCCAATATGGGAGCAATGGAGATATAAATGCAGATGGAATCCACAAAAGGAATAAAATAGCTAGAATGTTACCACAAGCTAATTAGTTATTAGTATAGTTTGTGTTTGTTTAGATACTAAGTTAAATAATACTATTTGAATAATAAAAAATGTTGAGTAAAATCAAACAAATAATTCTTTTAACATTGTTTTTATTTTAAATCTACCAGAACACTCATTTTACCACCTACTGACTGAGAAAAATAACATTGTTAATTAATACTAAGTAAACACTTTTTTTTAAAAAGTTGAAGGTAGTAGCCATGTGTGAGTTATGTGTTCAAAAAAGAGGTAAATAAAACAAGGGTGGTCCTTAAGATCTCACAAGAGTAATTTAATACGACCGGTTTCGAGGAGATCAGATCCTCATCATCAGGTATGGTCTAAAATAGAGAGGTAAAAACGAATGAGCTCATAACTAATAAAGTGGGTTTAAACATTTTTTATTATGAAAGTTGTCAAATATCAAGAACTCACCCGTATTACTCATCTATTTAAGACTAAGCTTAGAGATTATCACAAGGGTCGGTGTGAAAAAACAAGTATGCGAGTATTTTTTAAGAAATACATAAAAACAGTAATTGCAACAAAAAGTTGATGTCAAAACACAAGTAGGTCTAAAACTATTAATTAAAATTATTAAAATATTTCACGAACGGACAGACATTAAGACAAAACAAATTTAAAACTTTTTTTAAACCCTACAAGAACTAAAATGGGTTCTTAGACAACATGAAGTGTTTATAATTCTGAAGGTATAAAATTTTTTATTTTAGATTAAAGATACTAATTAACGCCCTCTAGATATAAATAGACGAATTAACAATTCTAATATTTAAGAAAAACAGTTTAGAGGTTGTCAAATTTAAATATTTTGACATCGGCGTTGGCGAAATAAATATTTCTTAATTAATAATATAGGTTTTAAAATGAATTATTTGAATTTGTATGTAATAATAAACAAAATGAAATAAATTATTATTGTTACACGTAGAGTCTAGCATTAGCGTCGGAAAATAATTTTTACATGTACTTAATATTCAAATTAAGAAGTTGGTAACATATCAACGGAAAAAGAAAGGAAAGTGGTATTAAAAGGAAAGGAAGAAAGAGAAAACTATTGATTTGGTTAGTTGTTTTTTTGAAGTAATGTGCTGAAAAATGAAAATGGAAAATGGAGACAGAATAAAAATTGGGAATAGATAAGATAAGTATAACTAATAATTAAAGTCAATAGAATTTCATAGGGAGATTTTAAAGTAAAAAGGGGGGTAATTTAAGGGAAAATGTAGATTTTTAAAAAAGAACTGAGAACGTGGGTGTGGATTCGGAAAAGACTTGTGAGTTTAGTGATAATGCATTGGTACTTTTTCTTAATCTAAATATTTCTAGGTTCTCCAAATTATTCAATATTAACTTGTTGTGGCAAATGTGGAGTACCCTAAAGCCATCCCCTGAGTCAAAATCGTGATTGGACTCTACTAGATGGGTGGCAAAATGTGAGAAGCCGGTTGTGGTAGTATTCAAACATCTTAAATGTTCTTTAAGTCTAGTCCTAAAATTACGAAAGGTTCTACCTACATATTTGGCTGGGCAAGACTTACAACTGAGTTCATATATGCCTGGTTGATCCATGATGTCCACTTTATCTTTATTCTTGATAAAAAAGTTACTAATTGAGTTGGAGGATTTAAAAGAAATTTTGAAGTAATTTTTGACTTTATAAGAAATATTTCCAATATAGGTAAGTGACATATACTTGCTAATGCTAGCCTCTACAGGTATAGCGTTAGTTATAAATGTTGTATTTTGAATAATTCTATTTTGTTTTTTTTCTCAACATTTTATCGATTAAACTGTGATCATAATTGTGTAGATGAGCTATGTTTTTTATTGTGTTAAGTTCTCTATTGTAGTTTTCAATGGATAAAGGTACCACTTTTTTTTAATTAATAGAATGTTTTAACGATGCCTTTGGGATTCCGAAAGTGTAAACACTGGTACACGGCTCTCTGCGATTTTTAATAAATTGTATCGAAAATACGAGTTGTTTATTGATTAACTTGTTACGATAAGTGGACTAAATAGTGATGCACCGATCGTGTTAATTTCGTTGTGAACTTTACACACAGTATCCTTTGTTTATTGACTGCGATTATTTGCAATAACTATTTTTCGATACCACTTTTTGTTAATTGTACTGATAAGAACGATAAATACACCGACAACATCGCCCGTTAGGTCCTCGATTGGCGAGGTAACCAACAATACGCTATGTGTATATTTTGTGTTGCCAAGCATACGAACTTAAATCATTAGCAACAAGACACAGGGCGCTTCTGTCTACAAAAGCGGCAATTTAAATTCAGAATATACCACTACTGTTAAAAATACCATGTCTACTACGAATAATACTCAGGGACCCAGTATATCTGCACTCCAAAATAAATCTTACGTTTCTGTAGCAAAGCCTAAGCCATCGTACCCTAAGAGGGAACAGGCAATTCTGCTTGATGTTGTAGAAAATCTTAGATTTATTGACTATGTTAAATCAATAGGCAATATTGTTAGCCCAACAAATATTACACATGCTTCAAGAATATCAAATAATAGAATCTGCATTTACCTCTCCAAGACTGATATAGTTGACAATTTAATAACAGACTATCCTATTATTTCAATACAAGAAAATAAACAGGTAATTCGCAGACTTGTCACTCCATCCAAACGAATTATAATATCTAATGTCTGCCCATCCAAACGAGCTCATAGAAAGTGCAATCAGGGATTTAAACTTGAAATTAGCGTTGCCAGTTTCTCTTTTAAGAGCTGGAATCCCGGATGAAGAGTACAACCATATTTTAAGCTTTAGACGTCAGGCGTATATTACTCCAACAGTAGAAAATATTAATATCAAAACTTCTGTTATTATCGCTCATGAAAGCAATAATTATAGAATCTTCATCTCTACTAATAAAATGCAATGTTTTATTTGTAAGCAGGCTAATCACATTGCAAGTAACTGTCCTAACTCAACACCTGTGGATCCTGAGGAATCTGAAACTACCGCTCATGTTGATAATCCTGTGGAATCTGAAATTAGCGCCCATGCTAATACTCCTATGGAATCTGAAATTACCGCACATGCCAGTACTTCTGCGGAACAAAGTACTTCCTCTCCTACAGATTTTAGCTCTTCCCCAGAGGCTCTGCAAAATTTGAATGATAGTCTCCGCACTGGCCAAAAGAGAATTCATCCTAGCTCCAGTGACCAAAATAGCCCTCCTGAAACCCCTGAAATTGATCTTCTCTCCCCCGCAGACCCCCATCCAATGCTCCCACCACAAACTTCCCTCCTAAAAAATATCCCAAAAACCCAAAAATCTGTTACGAAACCCACACTAAAGAAGGCTAAAAAAGAATCTTCAAAAGATGTTAAACTTTCTGATGCCATCAAGGCCGCAATACAAGAATATTATCAGAAAAACCCCAACGATCTCTCCCTACCTATGCATAACTTTATTGCTTACATAGAGAACACCTTTGGATGTAGTGACCCCTATTCTGAAGCTTTGCAATTTACCTCAAATGTTAGATCTCTACTTAAAGACATGCACCTAATATATCCTGAAATACAAGATCGGTCACTAAAAAACAGATTCTCAAGATTAACAAAAAAAATCAAGCATATACTGGAGGAAATGGACACTGGAAGCATTGCCAGCTTATCCTCACTGACTTCTGTCGAGCAGGATAACGAAGATATCTCAGACTGTTCACAACATTCTCAAAAGTCTTCCTATTAACCCATTAGTTATCTCTACAAAAAAAAACCTATATTTTTCATTTTCAAACTAATCCAGTGGAATTGCGATGGATTCTATCCGCGTCTGGAAAGAATCCAACAGTTAATTTCTGACACTAATGTGGATATTTTTTGTCTACAAGAAACCAATTTTAAAGAATCCCACAAACGTAAACTCAAAGAATTCGAAGGTTATCATTTCATCAGCACTTCTGGTTTAATTGCAAGTGCTGGTGCCAATTGGGAGGGATTCAGATCACACATTGACAGCCATATAACTCAATACCAACTTTCCGAAAATGTTGATGAAGCTGTTTCTGCTTTCAATAACTGTTTGACTGCTGCTGTTGAAATATTCATAGGAAAATCTGCAATCTCCAGTAACCAAAAATCAGTTCCTTGGTGGAATTACAAATGTGCTACAGCTGTTCAGGAATGCAAAACAGCATTAAACAGATACCGTAGAGCTAGAACTCGAGAAGAGCTCATCAACTTTAAAAAACTCAAAGCCAGTGCGAAACGTATTCTAAAGCAGTGCAAAAAAGAATCGTGGAATAACTATGTGTCTCAATTACATCTGATACCCCACCTAGTGAAGTATGGAACAAAATCAGACGCATGCAGGGAAATAGATCTGAAATGAACATTCCAGGATTACTATGTAATGGTAACGTAGCAACTGACAGCCAAGCAATAGTTAACATAATTGCTGAAAATGTTCACAAAAAATGCAAAAACAAACAAAGAAACATACCTTCTACCTCAATAAGCTTAGTTACATCTGCCCTTCCGACTTCTGATGCAGACTCCAAATATTTAAATCTCCCTTTTAATTTACACGAACTTCTTTATGCTATCTCCACATGCAAAAATTCAGCTGCCGGACCCGACAATATTTCCATTTGTTTTTCTTAAGAATTTGCCATCCTCAGGACTCACCAAACTTCTACAATTATATAATAAGATATGGACCAAGAAATCTTTTCCCAAGCTCTGGCAAGAAGCTGTAATACTTCTAATTTAAAAACAGGGAAAACCACCCGATGATCCAAACTCATATAGGCCTATTTCTTTGACCTGCACGATGTGCGAACTAGTAGAAAAAATGATAAACAGAAGACTTCTTTGGTACCTGGAGAAATATCTAATCCTGACACCTGCCCAATCTGGTTTCAGACCCCAGCGCAGCACCTTAGATAATCTATCAATACTACAGTCTGCTGTATTCAGTGCTTTCTCAAAAAACAGGATGTCGTAGCAACTACCTTTGAGTGCATTTGACACCCTTCTGATACCTACAATTCTCGAAAAACTTAAAAAGTGTAACGATACCGGAAACTTATTCAATTTTATTAAAAATTTTCTTACTAACCGTGTGTTCAAAATTACTGCTAATGGAAAAACATCTACCTTCTCTCAAGAAAATGGTGTACCGCAAGGCTCGGTTTTAAGCCCGACTCTTTTCATTCTTGCTATTAACGACATATGCAACTCCATTGGCCCTCCGGTCAAACTTTCTCTATATGTAGATGACCTTATTGTCTACTGTTCTGGTAAAAATGTAACATCTACCTCTACACTAATCCAAGAAGCTGTGAATCAGCTCAGTTTGTGGTCTACAAAAACAGGCCTCTACTTCTCCCCTACAAAATCAAAAGTATTAAAGTTCAGCAGACGATCATCCTGCACATTAAATCCTAATATTTCCATAAACGGTAGTCCTTTAGCAGTAGTCGACCATCACAAGATCTTAGGACTTATTTTTGACAGCAAACTTAACTGGAATTGAAAAACAAGTGCCTAAACAGACTTAATATTCTGAAATCGTTATCTTACCATTAATGGGGAGCAGAAGAAGAAGTTTTACTCAAGGTGTACAGAGCACTAATTAGATCCAAGATAGATTACGGAAGCTTCATCTATATGCCGGAAACTAAATCTGCTCTAAAAATACTGAATTCTGTTCAAAATTCTGCATTAAGAATATGCCTTGGCGCTTTTAGATCCAGCCCCTTTAAAAGCTTATGCTATAAAGCTAACGAACCACCTCTCTGGCTGAGGCGACAACAGCTCCTTCTTACCTACTGTGCAAGGGTTTCAGCAAATCCCAAAAACCCAGCATATTCCTTAATCAACGTGGTATATTCGAACGTCCATGTTTCCACTAATAATGTTCAAACATTACCACAAATCCTTGCTCCACTTCTCGCTGATATCGATTTATCTCGAACAACTCCAATTCCTATATCTACTGTACCGCCATGGGAAAAATTTCTACCACTTTTTAATACCACTCTAGCTCATAACCCTAAAAACGAAACTCCAAGTAACTTTCAAAAACAAGCTTTTCTAGAATTAATAAATTCTTCCCAATTTGACACCATCCTATACACAGATGCTTCTAAAATAAACGACTATGTCGGATGCTCTGTGATCTCTAAAAATCATCTCCCACATTTTACCAGTGCTCACACTGGCGAGCTGTTCGGTATTTACCAAGCTGTAAAATCTGTTAAAATAAACACGAGAAGAGTGGCCATTTGCACAGACTCACTTGCATTAATCATGTCAATAAAAAATCGTTCCTCACAAAATTCAGTCGTCCCAACAATAAATGAATCCTGTCATCTTCTCATTGCGCAAGGAGTATCCATAACAGTGATTTGGATACCATCACATGTGGGTATACCAGGCAACGAGGCAGCCGACCGTGCAGCTAAGGAGGCTTCTTTATCAAATTTAGCAATGGAAAACAATCAGCTACATAAAGACATCCAAAACCTTTTCAAAAATAATAGGAGGACATGACAAACCCACTGGAATACAATAACATCTAAACTGCGTGATATCCAACCAAACATCGAACCGTTTAAAATGCCTTATCTTTCAAGAAAGAACAAAATAACCATCCGAAGACTTCGAATCGGTCATACTCGACTAACACACGGTTACTCAATGGCTACCGAAGATCCACCGATGTGTCAGAGCTGCATGCTTCCCCTAACCGTCCAACACATCATCATAGACTGCCCAGACTTTGCGAACCACAGGAGAATCTACAACCTACCACCAAATCTGAAAGAAGTTCTTAGTTCTCAAGACCAAATAATTAAAATTATTAAATTCCTAAAAGACATTAATATCCTTCATAAGTTACAAATATTCAATTGTTTTATTTGTATATAATAATAATATATTATTTTGTACCTGTGTCAATGACCCTGGCAGTCGAGACACTTTAATTTTAAATAAAAAAAAACGATGCCTTTATTATTTCTAAATCTAAAAACAAAAATAATGTATCGCCTAGCTTAGAAATAGAATACCGCGCATTAAAATACTGTTGTAATACCTAAAGGAGTGAGACATAAACTTAACAGTATTTAAATAAAAAGAATTAACAGTGATTATATTTTACATATAATATATATACCGGGTGTTCAAATTAAAGTGTTACAGTTAAATACCGCCGAAAATATGCATTTTAGAAAAAAAAGTTTCAGATAAAAGTTTTATAGTTTTTTGGGGGAAACATTTTGGCCAAATTCACTTTTTTATAGCTGAACATAATATGGCCATAACGAGGTGGACTTTGTTTTTTTAAATGGGAATCCCATATTTTTATTCTTAAAGTTCATAAAAAAATAAGAAACTTTTGATGAAAATATTTTTTTTATTGGACTTTTACTTTTTGAGTAAGAGCTACTTGAAAATTTTGCTAGGCGAAAAAAAGTTGACCATATTATGGTTAGCTATAAAAACCGATTTTAGCCAAAAATTTTTCCCTACAAAACTATAAAACTTTTGTCTGAAACGTTTTTTTTTATAAAAGGCGGTATATAGCTGTAACACTTTAATTTGAACACCCGGTATATACCTATTTACTCAATGAACATTCACAAAACAGGTACATATTAAGAAAATCAACCCATTTTGTAGATTAATAAATTATTTAATATTGCTTTTCACTTAAATCTATAAAAATATAACATGTACAAAAACCACATTTTAAAAGCTGTTAGTACAAATAAAATAATATTCTCTAGTTTCTAGATACCAGCTTATTTTTATAAAGCATGATTTAGTAAGTCAAGGAAACATATGATTATGAAAAATTACTTTGAAAATTATCTCATTTCATTTAGCTGCCATTACCTTTTAAAATGTGCCATTTTATGGGACATCCTGTAGTTTAAAACATTTTATCACATTGTCAGTCAGTTGCAAGAAGGATGGTTAACATTTATGGGCCCAATAAACTTTGACAGTTGTTTAGAGTGTGAGTAATTTAAAGTTCATGTCATTCTGACATATCACATTCTCAAAAGCTGTCAGTTTATTGGGTCAATACATTTTAATGATCGTTCTTGCAACCAGCTGTGTATGTTTAATAACATACTGTCCATTAAACAAACAATTTGTCTCTAAACCTCACTATATTATACAGGATATCCCATTAAGAAAGGGATAAATCTAAACATCCTTTGATTAAAAATAAGATAAATTGAAACATGCTTGGGTAAAATGTTACTTGTTTCTGAAATACATGGTTTTAAAGTTGAAAATTAAAAAATTATTAATGGTTATAATTTGTACAATTTAGAATTTTTAACACTCTGTATTTTGGAAACGATTAGCATTTTACCCAAGCATGTTTCATTTAATTATCTTATTTGCAACCTGAGAGTTCACATAGTCAAAACTGAAAATCAAACAGAACAAAAACTCAAGAACAAAATAAAATAGGATACCTTTGTCTCAAACAAATATGTTACAAGTTTTCTAGGCTTGCTTTTTTATAACATCTATTATGTCCATAATTTGTTCGTGTCTCTGGTTACTTTGTGTCTGAATTGTCTGCATAATTGTTTCAAACTGTTCTTGTCTTGCATTCCTTTCCTCTTTAATGATATTTTCAACAGCTGATAAAACAGTTTTCTTTGGACGAATAGTTTTTTTAAACTGAGGTGTATTAATGATATGGCTTTTTCTTCCTGTTGAAGGTGAAGATGTATTTGAGTCTTCTTCCTCAACCATTGACTTTGATGATGATGGCTGTTGTGTATCTGCTGATCTTTTTTTCTATTGATTCCTTAGTGGAATCAATAGTACATACTGGCATGGCTTTATGCTGATCTCCTAATATATTGTCAAGCTCTGTAAAATATGGTGGTTTCTTAACGAATCCCTCTCCAGTCTGCCGTACCTGGTCTTTATATTTCATGTATGTGTGCTGAAGATTCATAAATTGACGAGCTTTATCTCTACCATTATCCCATAAATGGTAACCCATGTTTATCATTTTATTCGCGATTTTTGTTGGTTTTTTTGAAGACTTCCATATTTCTTCTGGGGGAATTTCATCTTCCATAACCTTATTTACTGGCACTTTTTCATTCTCAGTTATTTGCAATCCTTCCTCCATGGTTATTTATTTCTCTACTTCCCTCAAGTAATTAGCAGCATACTTGGGATCTGTAAGGGTAATTTATAATCACTGTAAAAATATTTAATAACTATTTATTGTCAGAAGTTATATTAGTTATAATACCTACCTTTCAAACTTTCTAAAGTTTCACAATCTACATCGATTTTATAACGGCCCAAATTTACTTGAAACATTCGCAATTTACTAATTTTAGAAAAACAAAACAGAATGACAGATGTAACAGATTTATAAATTTCACTAACAAGTATCCCCACTTTTACCATGAATAACGTTTTAAAACTAACTTTCCCTTGGTTTTAAAACTGACAGCTAAAATTTTAAATCATTTGAAAAATGACGTCATCGTTTCAACGCAAGAATGGATGAATTCAAAACTGCTACGAATATGATTTGAATACACATACGCAAGAAAATCCCTAAAGTAAAAGAAATTTCTGATAGAATATCTATTATTTTGGAAGTGTCTAGCTGCAGGGGCGCCCCGGTACCTAGACTATCGCAATACATACAGGGGCGTGATTGTTTTTGACGTTTTTGATCACGTGATCACGTGTTAACCTCAAATTTGTTTCTGATTCTTGTGGGTCGAGTCTTCGAGATTTAAGCATATATACCTAATTTCATTAGCGCATTTTTTACTTAATTAAATATTTTGACTGTAGTCGTAGAGGAAAGGTGAAAGTTCAAAGTTCACTATGAATTCGGAAAATTTGGATTCGGATGTAACAGTTGGGACTAAATTTAGTTCATACGATGATGTATGTTTATTCATAAAGTCATTTGAAAAAGAAAAACTTTGTAGAGTTAAGTGTTTACATGCCGAAGCGTCTTTCTTCGGCTACTGTAATGCAAATATATAAAGACAGAATTGAGCATATCAATAAAAAACTCGTCTATTATAATATTACTTATTGCTGTACTCATGGTGGAAAATACAGAAATAATAATGCTACTCTACACGCACGGAAAACAAGGTACTTATAAAATTATATTTTTTATTTATTAGGTACTACTTATATCTTTTTATTTTAGTACAAGGAAACTTGAGTGCCCTGTAAAAATAAGATTTGATGTTACTTCGGATGAAAAATACTTACAAATTGCTGAAATAAATCTTGTACATACTCATGAGGTTAGCAGTGAAATATATTTGTCTTTACCAAAACAACGACGACTGGGTTCAAAAGAAAAGGAAGAAACTTTAAAATTTTTAAACTTGAAGTGTAATAAGAAACGTAAAATAGGAAAAGTTGTTACATTGAATGATTTAAGTAATTTAAAAGCATTAAATAAAAAATCCAAGAACGTTAATGATTTAGTTGAGGCTGTTCATTTTTTACAGAGCGATACTTCTGCAATAATTAGTGTTTTAACAAATGAAGACAACACTTTGGAAGGAATATATTTTCAGAACAAATATATGAAGAAATCTTATTCATCTTATCCAGAATTACTATTGTCTGATGCAACATATAAGTTGAATAACTTAAGGATGCCCCTTTATATTTTTCTGGTCATAAATGGAAATGGACATGGAGAAGTTGCTGCTACCTTTCTTTTATCTAATGAAAATGAAAACTCAATCCGTCATATGACTCAAATATTTAAACAACATAACAGTGATTGGGAAAAAACGTTGTCAATAATGACAGATAAAGATTTTAAAGAAAGACATGTGTATGCCTCAGAATTTCCTCAAGCTCAAATACTTCTTTGTTTATTTCATACATTAAAAACTTTCCGAACGCAAATAACAGTTCAGAAAATGGATATAACTAGTCTTGAAAGGGATGTTTGCTTAAATGTGCTTACCAAATTAACATATTCTCTCAATGAAGAGGAATATGACAAAAATTATGAGGCTCTTTCGGCATTAGGACTCCCAAAAGTGACTGAATATTATAACAAAAATTGGCACAACATTAAACAAGAATGGGTAAAAGGATTTAAAATGAGAAATTTAACTTTTAATATTGGAACAACAAACCACTTGGAATCTCTCAATCAGAAAATCAAACAAGTTGTGACCAAAATGAGTGACATAAAAACATTTTATGAGGAGTTGTTGGTAGTGTTTGAAACTATTAGAGATGAGCACAAACAAGAAGCTATTTCTATGGTCACTAGAAAAAATACCACTAATAATGGACAGTCAGAAAACAAATATCTAAATTTTGTTACGCCATATGCTTTTACACACATTAAAGAAAATATAACAAAAGCCAAGAAACTGACTGCTATAAACAAAGATTATGAGACAACCATAAATTCTTGTAATTGCAATTTTAATATCAATTTTAAGTTACCATGTTCCCACATATTTTATGTTAAGCAATCATTAGTAGATGAAAGATTTAAGAAAGAGATATATTTCAGGTAGGCACATCTTATTAATTAAGAGTGATTTTTTTTATATATATATATATATATATATATATATATATATATATATATATATATATATATATAGAGTGGAAGGGTAGTCTTTGCTGAATAGTAATGTAAAATTCAAACTAATTTATTGGGGGCAGCAGCAATATGTAATAAAGAAAACTCTTTAAAGATGATCCAAGCTTTCGGAAATTTAATAACTTATTTCCATCTTCAGGGAATCTACAAAAGGTGTGGTGTGTCTTCATAGGAACATAATATTATTAAGAGAGTGAGTTACTTACATCTTTGTGAGGATGAATTATTAATGATGTTAAATATGTTAAATTTTATGATTTTGATGCACATATAGAATTATAATTACACAGTTTTACAATAACTTAAAATTATTGTGGTTAAAATTCAGTTTGAAATTTAACTGTTATGTCAAATTTTGTGTCATTAGTTGTTTATGTATACAAGTGTGTTAGATTAAATATGATGAATTATTTAATCAAACTGCATTCTCAGATAAAACATTATTAAATAATAATTTAGGTACAAAGTAATCTTCCTAACTAGGTTCCTTATTAGTAATTTCTATATTTAATCTAACACACTTGTATACATAAACAACTAATGACACAAAATTTGACATAACAGTTAAATTTCAAACTGAATTTTAACCACAATAATTTTAAGTTATTGTAAAACTGTGTAATTATAATTCTATATGTGCATCAAAATCATAAAATTTAACATATTTAACATCATTAATAATTCATCCTCACAAAGATGTAAGTAACTCACTCTCTTAATAATATTATGTTCCTATGAAGACACACCACACCTTTTGTAGATTCCCTGAAGATGGAAATAAGTTATTAAATTTCCGAAAGCTTGGATCATCTTTAAAGAGTTTTCTTTATTACATATTGCTGCTGCCCCCAATAAATTAGTTTGAATTTTATATATATATATATATATATTTCATTTATTTTGCAGGAACCATGTTGAAGATGTTACTTCTGATTTTGAATCTGCTTTCCCTTTATCTTCAAATATTAAAATACAGAAACAAATAAATTCTGTCTTGACAAATAATCAAAAATTCAGGAAAACTATTGATTTGTGTCAAGATTTGGCTGGATGCATGTCAGAAAGTGGAATGGATAGATTTATGTGGCAGTATAGAGAGTTGCAAAATTTTCTTAGCCTTATAAAGCAAGGAAAAACATTCAGAATTTGTTCTAGTGAAGTTAATGTAGAAAATACACATAGTTGTGAAAATGATTTAAGTGCAAACGGAAATGATGAAATTGCCCCCTTATCCACCTTTGGTTTCAGAACAGTTTCAACAGATCATAGTTATGCTCCGACCATTGAAAACCAAACAAGTTAGAACACGTTAAGCAAAGGAAGACATTTCAAAATAAAATTCAACATGATAACCAGATGGATTGTAACATCTTTATTGAAGACACAATTGAAACTGAAATAATTACTGATGAATTTACCTATGACTCAGAAATTGGGTTTGATGTACCATTAGACTGCATTCAATACAAAAGTTTAAAATTCAAACAGATTGGTAGACCGAAAGGTGCTCTTAATACAGGTATTGGTCTAAAAACGAAAAACAAATGTAAACGGTTAAAATAACAATATACAATAAACAATAAACTTATATATTATATTTTGATGTTGCTTTTTTCCTTCTTGTACCCTGCTAAATAAGATACTGCTTCAAATATCTAAACGTTTGCACTAAAATAATGCCATACACCCTCACATAAACCTCAATTTTTTACAATTATCAATCAATATAAACTGCTGTTAAACATTATCATCACTCGAAAAAGCCCTTTTTTGTTGAAATTGTTGTGTGGCAGCCTGTTTTGGCATTGGGTGGTCGAGCGAAAAATTATTTTTTGTTTTTAATCTATAGGCGTATGTAGTTATTGCGAACATGTCTCTTATACCTCTTTGTCAGCCATGGCCTACATTGAAAACGTTTTTATAGATCACCGTTATATTGTGGACCACTTTTAGCACTAATTATTGCCATTATTTCAATACTCAGGACTTTCTGGTTGGTGCGATAATTTGTAACAGCTTTGTTCATTGTTAAAGGTACAACAGCTTATACCTAGGCAAATAATAAATATAAAAATATAATTATCATTACTATAATAATTATTTAATTTAAAAAAACTTTGAACATAAAAGTTCATTGCAAAATATTCTGTTTAGAAAAATATCATCTTTTTGTTTAATTATAATCTACAATAATTATTGATAGTTATAAGTTTAACCAGGTTAAACGTCAAAAACAAACACGCCCCTGTATATAGAACGAAAGTCTAGGTGCCGGGGCGCCCCTGTAGTTAGACACTGCCTATTATTTTTAGGGTTATGATTTTGAAAATAGTTACAAAAAAATTATAACAGAACGTGGTTTTGGAAAAATGTATATTTTAATTGATTCTTTTAAAATATAATAAGTATTGGAATTTACAGCTGACTTACCGATTAAATTAGGGCCGGTTAACAGATGTTTATATATTTACCAACTAGTCAAAGATTATATTGTTATATTGTTTGGTTATAAAAAATAGGAACAATTTTTCAGGATACTCCTGAGCTCTGAGGGTGATGTCCTACTAGGTTCAATCCTAGGAGTGTTGTTTAGCTGACATTATTTTAATAAATTAAAATAAACCTGGGAGTCAAATTAATATAAACGTATGCCAGGGCTTGATTCGACGTCTTATTCAGAGGGTGTTTGTGTCCTATCAGCCTATGGGCCTCAAATGGTAAGCTTAGGTCCTATTGACTTCCGTTGTAAGATCCAAGTATCATCTGCTTTCTATTTCAAATAACGCGGTTAATGGGGTTACCTCCAGGGACGTAAATGGTAACTGGGTATCTAATAGCAGTATCCAAAATATAAGTAACTCCAGTCTCAAAACAATGTCCAGATACATGAATAAGTTCCAACACCAGAATACAGAATAGTAAATAAAAAGGAGAAATTAAAAAAAGGCCTGAAATATACAAGTTTACTTAATTCACCAACAAATGGTATAAGTAATTTTATTTTCAATTAACCTCTTTTCTAGCACATGAATCCTTATAAAAAGTTCCTCAAAAGCACATGCTTCTTGAAGGTGTATCGGAACAGTAATGATAGCAGGAAATGCATAAATAAGTTAAAATGACCTGCACAGGAAATTATATTAAGTCATGTCAGGTAACCTAAAACATCTTGGTACAATTTTTCGCAATCACCTACTTCCAAGATTATCAGCAGTCCTAACGTTACAGAAAGAAGTTTTCTTACCTTTTTCTCTATCTCTATCAGAATCGCACCGCCTAAGCATCATCGTGCCGTCTCGATAGACCCGAATGAAATTCCTAATGTCAGGAAATAGAAAGAGGGCTAATGGTCTTTCTATGCCTATTTTAACCTCAAATTTAAAATCTTAGTTTGTTGTGTGTCATGTAAAGTGTCTGTTTATCTAATCATGGGTAAGTTTATTATAAAATAAATTAATTTTTACCACCAAATGCAATAGAAGAGCTCCCAATGAAAATTTACGGCTGGAAATCTGTTGAAGGTTCAATTTATAGTTAAATTGAAGAACATAATTATACTTAATATTTTATTATTTTACAGCAAAAAGTTAAAGAATGCAAAACAGTGGAAAAGGGCCATGAAAAAGTTCACAATAAGAACATTTTGGAAGTACCACCTCTCACTTCTATAGAAAACACTGTGGAAGTGCCACCTCTCATTCCATTGAATGAAATGCAAGATGTAAATCCATCAACATCTGCCATAACAGCCGGCATCAAGATTAAAATCTTCTCATGTGGCTCTTTGGTAACTTCATGTGGCATAAAATATTAAGGTAGGTAAAACTTTTTTTCTGTAGAAATTCCATTTATGTATCTTGAGACCCGTAGATGGGGTCTCAAATGGTCACACAAATACCTGCATCTTATTTAATCGAAAGAGCTCAATAAAACGAACTTCTGGTAAAGCAAAAGGATTTCCTTCTTCTCTAAGAACTTTTCTATGTAATGGAAGGCGCTGATTTTCGGCTAAATGACGCCGTCTTCGCAATACTCGGTCTACCACAGGTAACATAATGGGAACTAATTACTTCTTGAATAACAAGAAAAAAATAATTAATAATAAAAAATAACCTTAAGACTGAAAAAGCTAAACAAAAAAACAATGTTCCAAAACGAATGATGTAAAAATCCCTAAAAAATAATTAAAATCACTAGACTAAAAATCTCACTCAAGGTCACGAAATTCGAAAACAGATTAGTATCGCTGGGCGGTCGATATCGAATATGCGCGCCGATTCTCAGGCTTGATAGAAGGGAGCCATTTCTTGAGAGAGTAAAAGACTCTCTTTTTCCTCGCTTTACGCCATTCCCTCCTTTTGTCTATTCTTGAAACATGCGAACGAACCTTTCAGTAGAAAAATGTTGTGCCATGTTGCCAATAGTTTTAAGTGCATATTTCCATATAAATCTATACCAAGTGAGTGTTCCGTGCCACAGAGGTCAGTTAATAACTGTCGCTAGTGAGTGTTCTGTGCTGACGCTGGACCTATAACCTAACCTACGTTTTAGCAACATTTTTTATTTGGTTTTATTTATGAACAAGATCTCAACAAATTCTTATAGTTTATGTTTTATTGTTTATTTGTATTTACTTACACGTTTTGAAACAAAAATTTGTCATTTATTTCATAAATACCTCAGCAAACAAATATATATTATATTTTGCTTTAGAATGGAGAAACCAAAAGTTTTGCCAATAAACAGAGAACAAAAGAAAATAATGCTAGAATACATACAAAAGTATCCGAATTTAGCAAGCAAAAATCTGCTGAATACAATTTTCAAAAGGCCCAAAAACACTGGGAAGAATTAGGCGAATTATTAAATAGTGTGCGAGGAGGGTCCAAAAAAACTTGGAGGCAGTGGCGCAAGGTAAATAATCAGTACCATTTAATTTGCAAAAATTGTAAGAATCCATACTTTTGATATATTATTAAATTTTGAATTAAGTTCTGTGTTAGTAAGGTGTAAACAACCTTTGGTATAGTACTTAAATATGGCATTTCAGTACTTGTGTTTAGTTTTGTTAAATTTCATTATGTATTTGAAACAAAAATTTTAATATATATTTTATACAGACACGGACTGATCTAAAAAAAAATACGAAACAGAAAGCATCGGGCTTAAAAAAATATTACCAAGGAACAGGAGGTGGACCAGCAATAGATGATAAAATTACAGAAATCGAAAAAGGAATATTGGAAATAATTGGCAATGTTATGCAGGAAGGTCACAAAGAAATATCAGAAACTCCAGTGAACTTTGAATTTGTAAGCAGTATTATTATTTTTAATATAAATTAGCTATTTTAATCAATACAGGATAACAATATCATTTCTTGTGTGCATAGCAGTGGATCAAACAAAACAACATAAAAACTTTAATCCCTACTACTCACATATGGCTACCCTCACTCCAAATAAAAACTTTAAATGCTATGCTAATTGGGGCCATATTTTATTGTACAGGATGGTTTAAGGTAGTGGTTTAATTTGTCTATTTAATGTTTTAATGAAAACTTTGATATTTATTTTACTTAAACAGTAGAAAAAATACTAATAATGATTTAGTTTACAATTATAATGACGAAATTTAAACAAATAATAAAATAGTAATTTACTTAAAAACCAAAAGGCAATAAAAGAAAAGTTATTAGAACATATTCATTTGTCTTGGCTAAAATTTAAGTTAAATGAATATCTGGTTCAGGACTAAGTTATATGGCTATTGTTTTTTTATTTGCAGAATGATTTAAGTGATATTCCGACAGTTGGCCCAGAAATAGAAGATAACACAAATCTAGAATTTATTTAA